ACAGAGGGAGGGATTGAACATAGATTACAATCCATCATCTACAACTGCATCTCTCAGTCTGTCTTGCATGGGACGGGCATCAGTATCCTGCAGCACTTCTCAACAGATCAGATACATACAGAGCAGAAGATGATCTTAAATGCTGCACAAATGGGTCAAACGACCGTGAAGCCACTCCCAATGTCTTACACAACAATGGAAGATGTCTCTCTGCTTATGGATGAAATCTCGCATTTCCCAGTTCTTTGTACATCAGAATCTTTAGAGCATGTGCTTCAAGAAGGCTTTGGGTGGCTGCAAAATGTAAATGATCACTTGCAACTGACAATGAAACACTGGATAAAGTAAAAACAGGTAAGAGGTCTTCTTGGTCAGCATGGCAGTCTCTACCAGATTTCACCCTCCTGCTCCAATTACTGTCTTCTTCCAACCCAACAGATGGGATGATTGAGCAGCACAATCCCGTCTTCCACAATCAGCTCTACGGTGTGAAGGACGAAGATATGACAGTGGATGCTGCACGCTTGCATTATGTGTGGGGAAACTCTCTGAAGAGGAATTTCCATCCAGAACCTCCAACCAATTGGGGCTTGAAGCAAGAGACTGAAGAAGCCGCCCCTGTACCAGTTTACACTACAATACCAATCATCTCAACAAGAAAGTTGTGTGTGAATAGCCAGCCCTGCACGAGTACAAAGAACTTACTTAAGTATAAGGCAGAAGCAAATGCGCCAAAAATGGTTCTTAGTGCGAGTAGAAAGTCTGTGAAACAGACATTCCTATGACATTGTGATACACGCATTCCAATTTTGTTATAGAATAAGCAATAAATATGTATAATGATATCATGTATATTTATTTTGTATTTCAAACTTGAGGGCCTGTACAACTTCAAGAATCAGGAATAATTGTTTTTCACTAGAATCTATCCTAACTCGTGCTTATGGGAGAAAGTAATCAACAGTTATGAAAACTTCCATAAATTCTTGATGTGTACACACACACACACATACATACAGGTCTTACCATAGTTGTAACGCCACACATTGAATTGGCGTTAAAAAGCGTTCCTATATAGGGTTGCGTTTTAATTGGAGTTTAAACTCAATTACAATGCAATACAATGTAGAATTGCGTTTTAAATAAATAAAGATATTCCATGACTGAACATAGAGATGTTTGCAAAGCTTGGGTTTAGTCCGGGGGTTTAGTAACAGGGGAAGGTATGGTACAATTATATTAATATTAATATATATTGTACCATACTTTCCCCTATAATATTCGATTAAATATTAATATAAATTATGAAACATTGTGAGTCCCCACTGTGAGGCTCCACTACACTCTCCCTTGCAGAGTCGTCGTGACCTACACAGAGAGCCGCAACTAGACTCTGCCACAGGCGACATTTTACACCAAAATTGTTGGTATTCCGCGTTTTTTTTTTAAATTCACTTGTTTCTTATATCCTAAGCTTCTGTTATTTAAAATAAATATATCAAATATTTTTACATTCAGTGCTAAAATCTGTCAAAAATGTAAAAATAATAAAAAGTAGATCCTGGGGTAGGAGACGTAGAAGTAAATCGTCGGTTCAAATCGTCGGTGCGTTCGCGTCGTTGCCTCGGGGTGACGCGGGCGCCTCGCGCCTGCCCAGTTTTCGTTCAACTGCTATATGACGTCACAACTGGGCGATGTTGGGGGAAAAGATAGCGTACTATAAAATCGATAGTTTAAAGGGTGTTTAGGTAATGTTCTCAAACATAAAATGCTAGTGGGCCTGATTTCAAAATAAATTTTATACATTTTATACGAGTTTCGCTCGCATAGTAACGGACCAATACATCTACTTCCTACCACAATAGTAGTTTATAAATAAATAAACGCTGCTCGGACTGATAAATATTGTTAGGATAAACTTAATTTGTTCACTTTGTACACGTCATATAATACTAGATGTGATTTCTGATTGGCTGAGGAGATGATGTCATGTATAATTAATGAGTTGTACCACAATTCCTTGCGTTGTGTTCTTCAGTGTTATCTGTTAATAAAGTACTCGCATAGGTCACTTCGATTCATTGTCTAGCCTTGTATTTTACAAGATGGATCAACGATGTCCAACAGGTTATGGGCCCAGGACGCGGTTGCTGTTTGACGGTGATGAATCGAAGTATGAACTTCGGGAGGTGAAATTCCTCGGGCATATGCGCCTACAAAAATTGGATGAAGTGATTGCACCAGCCCAAGATGGCGCCGAAGAACCAGAAGCGGGTAAAAATAAGGATGCGTATGCCGAGCATGTGCAGTGCCTCGATGATAAGAGTTTATCGTTAGTTATAAGGGAAGCACACAACGACGGACGAAAGGCTCTCAAAGTGCCGAAAGTGCCGCTACGTCACTCAAGGCTGCAGGTGAGGTGATCAGTGACAGTCTTTTAATCGCCATGATGTTGAAGGGACTCCCCCCGCAATTCAGAACATTTGTTGCCGTCATAACTCAGAGGGAGAAGCAGCAAACATTTTCAAATTTTAAAGTAGCGTTAAAGAGCTACGAGGAGACCGATAAATGCGGCCAGCAGCGGGAAAACGTACCCGTGCAAGATGGTGTGATGAAGGTCACGCAAAGCCAAAATTTTTCAAACAGAGAGCGGGCACGCCAGTTTCCTTCACAGACGGGAACAAAATGTTACCGATGTGGCAAGATGGGGCATAAAATAGCAGATTGCTGGGCAAAGCC